GTAAATAGCTTTTCGAACCTCGAAACTTATCGCTTTCAGGGATTACTGGCAGCGAAAACAAAACCATCGCGCGTTTCCATCGAGAGGCAATCTCTAACTGACGCGGAATAGCTTGGCTTATTTCGGCTTATTGTGCCATGACGCGTCGGAATTTCTATCAGCATAAAGAAGGATCTGGAAATGCTTTTGGCGGGAAATCGACTTTCGCGCCGCATCTGAGTCGGAGCGTGTTTTATCTGTGATCCTACCACATTTTCCCTCGCAAATTTACGAACTGTGGTCCTGACGTTTAGTGCGCGCGCACTTATTTAGTACTAGCTGTGCCCGCGACTTCGCCCGCGTGGAATTTAAAATAAAAAAAATCTAAAGTAAAAGTTACATTAGCTATCTGTCAGTGAAAGTCCCGTCTAAATCGATCCAGCCGTTTCAGAGATTAGCCGGAACAAACAGACAGACAAAAATTGTAAAAAATGTTATTTTGGTATATGTACCGTGTATACATCCATATGCATTTAAACAATCACTAATACTATAATAGCCTTTAACACACAACCGTTATTTTACATTTTTTTAATTTAGCTATTGATACATTTACATTTGTTACATTACATACATTCAAGAGCCGCCTATGTTACTTTTCAGGTTAACTAAATCCAACAAACAGATTTTATAATACTGGACAGAAGATAAAAATGGAATTGGGAAAGACTTAAAATACAAAAATGGTACGAATTAATTTTACTTAGTAAGCACCGCGACCATAGACATTGCTAGCATTTTTATTACAATACGAATGAAGAACAGCGGAAGCATTATAGATAATAAAACCTTGTTTTAATTACCGAGAATAATATAAATACATACAAAAACTGTTTCCACAACCTTCGGTGCAATATTTGCATAATAAACGAGGCAGTTTTTTGCGCGGCAAATTCGCGGCATGTTTTCCTGTTAAAAAAAACCCGGAGAATATTAGATGCGTTTATTTTACGATTAACGTCAAGTTTCGCAAAGTTGCGACCGATGTTGCAACATTAAATTTATATTTGAGTCTTAGCGCCGCCATTTTGATTGTAGTTTAATTTCAGTGTGTAAACATAACAGTACTATTGACTTGGCAAAACTGGATACATTTTAGTGAAATACAATTAAAAAAATTAAAGTTATATTCATAACATTATTTTTTAATGTTTTTAAATGACAAATTTTATATTTTAGTGATAAAAACACCGCCATTGCTTCTCCTAGAAACCAGTTTTACCTATTTCTATTGCATAAGCCCATTAAGGCCTTATAATTCTGAGTAATTTGCGATCCTATAAGATAATTTATATTAAGGAAATAACTTGAACGTGGCCCTACCACGCAAGTGTTCTCTGTTGCACGAATGGGCAGGTCCGTCCGGGTAAGTACCACGACCTCACAGAAGACCGGCGTCAAGTGGAAGTTCTGCGTTTCAGAAGGTTTTCAGAAGTTTTCTTCTGCGTTTCGTCTAAAGAGTTAGGTCCGCTTTATGAAATGGTGGTATTACATTTTCAACCGTACGGTCAATGATGTTTAATCAAATCAAATAATTTATTCATCGAAATAAGAAATATACATTACATTTATCGATGGTAATTTTTTTAATCTTGAACGTGACCTCGGTTTATAACGCAGGCAATTCCGGCGTGGTAGTTTCAAAAAACAATCGAAATCAAAATCATTTATTCATCGACATAAGAAACTTACATTTGTTCTACCGATGGTCATATATTTTTTTTAATCTACCACCGTTTCGTAATGAGGTTCCTCTAACGGAGAAGAAACAGGCGAAAAACTCCGTAGGTACCCCCTTTTTTGTCATATTTTTTTCAAACAATTACATTGTTATACAGTACATAATATATATATTTTTTTAAATAATATAGATATTAATAATATAGATATATTTTAATAATGAAAAATTGGTGATGACTCCGTGGCGCAGTTGCCAAGGTATTGGCTTCGGCGTCGGGGGTCATGGGTTCGATTCCCACACGTGACAACTATTTGTGTGACCCACAGGATAGTTGTTTCGCATCTGGGTGTTTGTCCGCGTGAAATTTATTTTTGTAAAACGTCTTTAAAATACAGAATGATGTTATCCTAAAGTAAGGGCAATGTTTTAAAAAAAATAATAATAATAATATAGATGACGCAGAACCATACTGCGCAAAGTTTATAAACTGTTCCGCTTTACATTATATGACATGTGACAGATGATATAAAACGTATGATATGGAAAGAGATAGCAGTATATAGAATTGCAATCATATTATATCAATTGGTGTAATTTGAGTGCTCAATTTCGGTGCGTGTCTTGGAATATGATATAATGTCATATATATCATTTTTTTATTATATAACATCATTCGGTTATCGTATAAAAAAGAACAATTTATGAAATATGAAGCTATCTGTGATACATGAATAAAACTTATCCTAAAAAGGTTAAATAATTGCTACGGTTGGCATTGTTCAGTCTCAAAAGTAACAGTCGATGAGTGTTTCAATGATTAACAAGTGGATAGTAATTTAAGTCATTAAATGTATTTTAAAAGACCGTGAAAAAACGTTATAATAAAAATAGAGCCTACCACGTTGAAGAGACTTGCGCCCGTTTCTAAAACAGTGATCATCGTAGAAACTAACTAATCAGCTGTCAAATGGCTTGTCAATTGTCATTCGAGTTGCCAAATGGATGTTTAAACTCTCTGAATTGATCAGAGTGATCTTAAGATCATCAGATAATATAGATAATAAAAAATAATATTATTAAGAGTACATTAATGACGCGCGTCATTAGCGTAGAGGTGCAACGTTTTTGACAGGTGCAGAGGCAAAGGTAAGTAGGTCATTCTGCCCAACTTTACGATGCGCTCTTCCATTGTGACGCTGCGGTATTACAAGCCGCATGCATTCATAATACCTCTCTAAAAAACAAATATATAAAACAGTATTCATTTATATGAGAGTTGAAAAATGTAATTCTAGACGCTATCTTGTCTAGTGCCATAAAGCTGTGTCGGAATGAAATATTTATTCTTCGCGAATGCTTATGATGCTTACTACATTGTAGATCGGATTTCGTGTATCAAAGAAGACAATAATTCAGATATATCAATATAACATATAATTTTCAAAACTTTCGTTAACGTTTATTGTTTATTATTAACTTTTTAAGACTAATATACCTTTTTTAGTGACTTATTTATTTAAAAGTAGTTTGATTATTTAGTTTCGTGTGAAGGTGAAAGTTATTTCATTTTCCATAATGTTACAGAATATAACTGTAATAACAAAATAACATAATTACTATGTGGCTTTATTTTAAGATAATTTTAGCCATTTCTCATAAAATCTTTGAATGTTTTTAAAGTGCGGCAGCCAATTTTAGCTCAAAATTGAAAAGATGTCTAGTATTTGTGCCATAGCCCAAATAATTCATAGCTTATAGCGAGACAATAATTCGTGTACCAAAAACTCAACGTACGAACAACAGCGTAGTTAGTACAAGTATTTGTGATATATTTGTTGTAAACGAAACGCATAACATGTAGCCAATAATTTCGTTGATTTTTTCGGTATGAAGATATACTGCTTAGCTCAGTGGCTAGTGTCGGCGCATAACCCGTAGGTCGCAGGTACAAACCCTCGCATAGGCGAAGAGCTTTTCGTCCATTTTGTCTACATATTCTATAATTCCATCTTAAGCGCAGAGAAGAGCAGTGTAAAAATTAATAATATCATTAAAAAAAATACAAGGCTTGGTTCGAGCGTCGCTCCTTTAAAGGGTCTTTCAAACAACATTTCCCAACTTTTCGCGTTACAATTTGGTCGTGCGGCAAAAGTTTTCATTTAACCGCCAAGTGATGCTCGTAAATTCCGCGAATTAACCGAAAACGCGTCCCGTACCGTGCCAGGGCGGTTGGCAAGTACATTCACCAGGTATACAATAAAACAGCGGGATGGTATATTAAGGTGAAATAAACCGTCCAAGTCCGAGTCGGAATCGCGCACGAGAGGTTACGTACGATTATCTATAAAAACGACAAAAAACATGCCTGTTGTATGGGGGCCCCACTTAGATATTTTCTCATTCTGTTTTTTATTCATTATTGCTACAATAAGCAGGCAGCAGAAATGCATCGTCTGTGAAAATTTCAACTGTCTAACTAAGTATCACGCTTCATGAGACAGTGCCTTGTGACGGACGGACAGGCAGGCCGCGGAGTGTCAGTAATAGGGTGCCGTATTACCCTTTGTGTACGGAACCCTTAAAAGCGTATAAGTAGCGTAGTATTAATAATGTGAAATCATGTGATGACCACCACTCATGGAAAGAAAGTAAGAAAGTTAGTGCCACGATCTGACAGAAGACGGGTGTTGAAAATGTCATTGGGCAGGCGGTTATCACTTAACATCAGGTGAACCGCCAGCTCGATTGACACCTTCATACATAAAAAAACAAACATAAATAACTGTACAACGTACGTGTTTATTCATGTTGACTGAAACTTGAACAAACGGTATATCAGTTCTTCTAAAAGCTTTAAAAAAGGCGGCAAGCATTGGTAATTACATAGTGTATTAATTAGGGATAATTAAGGGGGGTTTTCAAATTAGTCAAATTTTCTCCAAATGCTGGCTGCATTCAATACAATAAGAGCAGAAAGAATCAATGTAAAACCCCTCTTAAATTAAATATTCGAATCTAGATTAGATAAAACTTTAGCCCGTACTGTTATTCTCACAAGATGACACGGAAAAAGAGTACTTGTGGATCATAACTACTGGTCACGATTAGTTTTAGGACTGACTAAAGCAGTTAAATACTAAGTTTACTATCGAGTCAATCACCAACTCAGGCCCGATTTCAGAATTTTGCAAACTCTGATTTTCATATGTCCATCTAATATATAACAAACTGATGTCATCGGTTTGAATTAAATTATCTTTAATCTCCGATCATGAGGTTAGGACTGTCCTCGAAAACGGTCGAGGTTAGGCCACACTGCGGTGCGGGGCGCACGCCGTGCGGCGATATCGCCAGCGTGGTTCACCGCGTTCGCCCCGCGCCAATCACGCGAGCGGGCGATCCGATGCCAGCCAACTTTTTCGGCTGCGGGCCAAATCACAGCCGCGGCAATCCCCCATGCCGATGAAACGGTACACGGTACGAGATATCCGCTACGGAGGCGTAGCAGACCGACACGCGTAGTAAACACGCTTGGCTTGTGCGCCCTATAACACGATTTCTTGTTTTTAGGGTTCCGTATCCAAACGGTAAACGGACCCTATTACTAAGACTTAGCTGTCTGCCTGTCTCTACTTAAAACAGAATAAAAACATTCAAGTGGGTCTATACAACAGACATGATTTGCCGCTTTTATGGATAGAGGTAGGGAACCCTTCGTGCGCGGGTGCGACTCGCACTTGGCCGGTTTTTTACTTTTTTGTGAATAGTATCAAGCGAGCGGTCGGTTCACTTGATGTTAAGTGATCATCGCCGCCCATGAACACCTGAGGGTTTGCTGATGTGTTGCCAACTATTAAATGGGCCCCGATTACAATCACTCACCAAACGAAACGCGAAAGTGTAATACTTCCATTGCTGCGAGGCCCTGGCATTTCAACGAATGAGCCTGCCCATTCGTGCAACAGCCGCTGCTACGTAGCTCTGCCACGGCCAACGTTTTATTCACTCCAATTCTTATTAAACGAAACCATATCGCGGGAATTGTGGGCTAGCGTTAACATTATTATATACATACTCTCCCAAATTTCCAAGAAATAACCCATATTATTTCAACAACAGTTGCATAACTTATCTAAACGACGATATCTTTTTAACTACAACGATATCTTTTAAACAAAAGATCGTGTTTGATCAACAGATGGATATACTTTCATTAAATAATATAATTATACGCACCCTGCATAGAACAACGTCTGCAAAATTGTAATTGTTCAGGTCCGATTCAAATTATAATAATATATTTTTTTTATTTTGTTTATAGCTTTCTTATACATAGTAGTTGGTATTACAATTCTTGAGGTTTGTAATATGATTAGGTGTATAAACAAACAGTATACTTTTGAATAAATAATTATATAAATTTAGGGAATAAGAGGCTTCATGTAATGTAATAGTGACGTTTTCCTACGGAAAATGGCGATAGCTGATGGGTCACAAGTTCATATATAAACGTTTATATAACGTTGTTCCACGGAACATTCCAAAAAATAATAGGGCACACGTTCATTTATAACGTTGGTCTACTAAAAACTCAGAAAATATATATGAAACAAACGCATGTAGCACTGTTTTCAACGAAAAATCCATAAAAAAGTGGGTAACTGTGCAATAATTATAAATTGACTTTAATAGAGTATTTTACACTCGTCTATTACATTAGTAAGCTTAGTCTAGTCAGTACAAAAAACAGGGTCTAAACGTACCTATGTTCTTGTACTGCGGAGCACAAATCAGATAGAACGTTGTTCTATTCTGAATCTCAATATCTATAAGTCGGACGAAAAAAAATAAAATGTTATCTGAAAGCGTAGAAAATTATTAAGGCTTTCCGACGATAAAATCAAATTCGCTCTATCTAACCACAGAACGTTATTCTACGCACGGTGCAAATTGCGTATAATAAAAAATGTAAGGTACGAGTAAATTATTATAATCGTGTCAATTGCTTCAGAGGGTATTCTTTAAATGCACCCCTTCGCAATGTTAGTATAGATAACATTCACAAGCCACGAAACGCACACATTGACATTACCGAATGTATATGTCAATATACGAGACAGGATACGAGACGCAGTTATTAGGAAGCTCTACGGCTCGCAGACAAGGGCCGGCGCCTCGCCGTCTACGATCGATCCCGGGCTAGTTACCGCTACGCACGAGATACGATCTCGTACGCGGAACAACACCCGATTTTTATCTTGTATTGACGTCAGAATACATGGCGCCAGAGTCAAGTTACGCTCTCAACGCCCATTAATTTATAGTTCTACTCATCCTAAATGCATTGAGTAGTTGATTTATTACAAAATCTAACTTTTAATAGTGTAGTATATGTTTGTTTCTTGTGATGGAAATATTTACACTGTGATTCTCATCTTGCATGAGATTCTTCCTTTGTATGAGAGGGGAGCAACCGAGTTGTTTACGTGATAATAGGAATAAGAAAGAAGTAGAAATACATAAGTAAGGAATAAATGAAATCCACAACACTATTTGTACTAACGTCATCAACATTAAAGGACCCCAATTACGAAATTCAAAAGTAAAAATATTTCTATACCTCTACTTAACGGGCTTCTGTGAGGCCAGTTAGATACCTGAATATCCGGGGAAGGCGCCAAACGAGCGTTTCTTTTATGACACAACAAAACCTGATTACACTACCGCAGTAGTAATTAGCAAATAGAGAATAGACAAAATCTGGAATAGTAGTAGACAAAAGTTATCTGTAAGCCATACTGGTTCGGCAATCAGGCAGTCTATCCACGATACGCGACGCTGAAGCCAATATCATAACAACAGAACTAACCTATTGCAACTGCGCCAATGGCACATTAAATTTATGTGTATATTAGATGTGCATCGGTTTGTGGATATATTCTGATAAATGTATTGGATTTAAAGAAAGAAAGAAAGAAAGAAAGAAATATTTATTTGGTACATAACAAACAAAACATAAAATACAAACAAAATAAAAATAACAATTAAAATTTAGAAATCACAACTTGAAATCAATGTACCAAAAAGGTCCACCACTCAGCATTACGTCGCAAAAAAAGAGAACAAAATTTTGCGATTACTGATTTTCAGTGGAGCCTATAATATGTAAACTTTTGTTAACCTTTAGTTTTCGATTTTGACCGTACGTTTTTACTATGGTAGGGCCACTTCGCTATTGCACGAATGGCAGGTCCGTCTAAGGAAGTACCACGACCTCACAGAAGACCGGCGCGAAGTGGACGTGTCGTACTTCTTCTCATCTAGTGAGTGAGATAACATATCATAATATGTTATCACTTTATTGGTGAAAACATATGAACAACACTACGGGTGTGGGTGTCACAAATTTCCATAAGCGGTGGTTATTACTTACATCAAGTGTGGTTAACCAGCTCGCTTAACATCTTCTTACATTAAAAAAATAGTCTTGCCTGTTTTTATTTTCCGTAAAATAAAATCCATCGCTCATTAACATCTTCTTACATTAAAAAAATTGTCTTGTCTGTTTTTATTTTCAGTGAAATAAAATCCATCGCTCATTTTTTTTAAGGAAAAGGTGTAACTTCGAAGCTAGTCCTAGCTTAGCTTTACAGTTGCCTTTAGGATTTTCCCTAACTTACACAAAGTTTTTGTTCGAGAGAACACAATACAAGCCACCAAAAATTTAACTTGATTGGACTTTTGCTATCCAAATATTTCCATACTGTCAGCATTTATTGTTTTTAAAATTAGTAAATACATGCTACTTACATTAGGCTTGTAGTCGTGAGCTAAATTTGTTTAGCTTTTTGGTGTCATTAAGGCAGAAGGTTTGGTACCGGGATATGATGCCATTAAATCGCGTAGCAGCGTCCTTTTTGTACGTATCGGCGCAGGTGTCGCTACGGCCGGTCATATTGGAACGTGACGGGCGCATTCATCACACCGATGGGCAAGATCGTTAATTACACACACGCGGCGCCCGCACCACACTGTCACCCTTCATTAATCTGCACGCTCCATCGATGAATGGCGACTACGCGGGTAACATTAAAAATGCCTTTGGGCTTTAACGATCGGTCGTAGGCTACGAAATTAAGTTCTACTCTCGTGTGTTATTTAAGATACGTCATATATGAGACAATCTTTAGCGAGGGCCGTCAACTTCGTAAAATGAGGGGTTCCTTCCAGTTTAGCTTAGTTATAAACGACATTTTTAAAGATTCACATTGTAGTAATAGTAATTACCATACAAAAACGTGAATACGACAAAGGATTGCGAACAAGAAATACTCACGGTTACAACCCGTAGCGATCACAAGTTCGACATTGTGACTAGGCGCGTAAACAGTATTAATAATGTGAAATTATGTAATGACAACCACTCATGGACATTTTACCTCACTCACCAAACGAAACGCAGAAGTATAACACTTCCAATTGACGCCGATCTTCTGTAAGGTCGTGGTACTTCGCCGGATGGACCTGCCCATTCACGCATTAGAGAAGACCCTACCCTCCTTTCGTGGCCCTACCGCATTATATTACATATTAAAATATGCATGATATCAATGTTTTTTTTATGCGAAAAGTTGTCAAGCGAGCAGACGGTTCACCTGATGTTAAATGAATACCGCCACCCATGGACATCTGTTACACCCAAAGGTTCCAGATGCGTTGACAACCTTTTGAAAATTGGCCTCCGGCCACCTCACGCACCAGACAAAACGCGAAAGTATTATACTTCCACTTTACGCCGGTCTTCTGTGAGGTTGTGGTACTTACCCGGACGGAGCTTCCATTCGGTCCACAGCCGAAGCTGTTTTTATGGCCCTACCACCGTAGATTTAGCGCTTCGTGAATCATTTAAATGCAAAATAACGGAATTTTTACTTTAGATTTATATTTTTTACATCTCTGCTAATCTCTATCATATAATATAATGCTAATCTCTGCACTTGAGACGAAACGTTAAAATTTGATTTAGAAGGGACGAAATGTCTTTCCCCTCTGCGGGAAGCCAATTCATATTCGCCGAGTATTAAACGTAAAAACTTTTAAAATGTTTAGAGAGACAATTTACAAGTGTACAGCACGTCGGGGTTGTACATTGACTACAGACACGTTCATGCAATAGCTAATCTTTTGGCGGGATTTTGTATGCACACCGTAATGAAATCCCGTGAACCGTTGCCCATAACTGTGTGTGACGTTGTATGTCAAACCGGTCCCATTAACAGGGCGTCACGCTCCACCAATAGAGACAGTATATGAGGGCGCGTGCCCCGCGGTCTACCAACTATGCCTCCTTCACACGCTAGTGTACTAAAGACTCACATTCGAGTATAGTTGCTAAACTATACTTGAATGCGAGTCGTTTAGTACAGCGGCAAGTTTGATTTTTATTATGCAAAAATCAAATCAACTTCAATAATATAGACTGGTAACGTGAACAATGAAATAGTTTGTACTATTTTAGTAACTCAAAAAAACTACCAATCTTTTTTTTTTTCATACAATATGCTTGTCCCCAAAATGCTTTACATTATTTATGGTAGTATATGTATGAAATTATATCCATTCTCCAATTCATTTTATTTTGTGTATTTCTTTCTAAATCAAAATCAAAAATATATTTATACAAATAGACGCTTGCGCGCTCTTATGAATCGTCAAATTTTACATCAAAACTTATGTATATAGGTTCGTAAGGTATCACCGGTTCGGAAAGCAGTTAACTATAACTCTTGTGACCTCGTGTATATTTATATACTTAGTTTAGTCTTAATGAAGATTCTTTTACGGTACTTTCTGTCCTGGACAGAAGTAATTAATTCTATCCGTTTTTCATCGAGACCATTAACCCTTATAACCTAACATGTAGTAAGCAGCTCACTAACATTGGCAACACACATAAAGCAATGGTTTTGCACGTATGACATACAAAAAGAAACTTTATAATTACTAATGGAAGATAAAGTCCTGGGATTCAAACCCAGGACACTACGGCACAAATGTATTATATAATTGAAATAAACATATAATATTTAAATGTTATTTATCAAAACATTTAGGATTTAGTTTTTATAATTATATCTTTTTTTTCTCATCTTTAAAATTTTTCTTTTATGAATCTAAATACCGTTAAAATAAGATATTATAATTGTATGCTATTTATTTTATGTAAGTGCTGTTTGTTTTCCTAATCAATAAAATAAATAAATAAAATAAATAACCACCAGTTCATCACTGCAGTTTCTGCTTTGTGTTACTTATTTTGATATATTTCGGTGGATATTCTTGCGTTCTTTGTACCTTATAAGAATGTTTTTGTTATATTATTATCACAAAATACAATATATTTTATAGCTTTTGACTGTCGCAGCGAGGCAATGAACAGCGAACAAAAATTCACGTTCAACATATATCATGGGCACGTATTGCGGCAAGTGACGTGACAAGTAGCGAGTAGTGTAAACGGTGCACGAACCTTATTTATGTGATGTTTAGTTAACATTACATAGAGTTAGCTATTCGTGCATTCGGTTGATATTTCGACGCTGCACATTCGAGTCTGCACTTTAGTTTGTTTACTTTAGGCTAAAGTGGGTTAAAGTAATTCGTAAAGTAAGGAAAATTACATACGTAAGTAACGCATACTTACGTATGTAATTTTGTGACTGTTAACTTGACTGTGTTTGAAGTGAGCCCCTATTACCAATTATAACCCATTCTTGTTTCACGGCTACGCTTTTAATATAGTAAATGTCTTCAAAACTTAATTTTATCTACTGGGCAAATATACGTGAACGAACTTTGTTCCATAGAAATGTGAGTGATAAGTCCTCGTCTTCCGTCTCTTTCTACCACCTCTCGATAGAGACGTTAATTTATATGCAAGCTCTCTTGTGTACCATCTCACTTAACTGGATATCTAAGAAAGATGTAGTTGATTGTCAAACTTGTGAGCTCAGTGAAATCCTGTTCACTTTACCATTCCGCGGCGAGTTTTAGGTTCGATTACCGACGAGGGACAAACTTTCTTATGATATAAACATAAATAGATACTTAGTGCTTGTGATTCTCATGTTTGTGAGTCCTTCCGTGACACATGTGTCATTTCCCAGTGCAGATTGTTTTTAAAAGAAAAAAAATAGGACGGAAAAGCAGACTGGCAAAATTATTTCATCCTCCGCTGTACGCACTGCGAGCGTCGAGGGAAGACGTATGTAGAATTTTAGGGTTCCGTTGCCAAAGGGCAAAACGGGACCCTATTACTGATACTCCACTATCTGTCTATCTGTCTGTCTGTCTGTCTGTCTCTCTATCCGTCTGTCACGTTAAAATTTTCACGGATGGTGTATTTCTGTTGCCCGAAAACTAGGCTATCTGTCTGTCTGTCCGTTTGTCACCAGGCTGTATCTCATGAACCAGACGATGTATTTCTGTTGCCGCTATAACAACAAACACTGAAAAACAGAATAGAGAAATATTTAAGTGGGGCTCCCATACAAAAGACATGATTTTATGCACTCTTTACAGATAACGGTAGGGAACCCTTCGCGAGCGAGCCTGACTCGAACTTGGTCGGGTTTTTTTATCTCCGTTTAGAACTTACGTGGCGTTCTACTTTGCGCGCTACGAGAGACGTAGGGAAAATTATTTTAATAACTCGACAACAAGAACTGCGGGCTCATACGCGAAGGCGTATATATATTACTAGCAACCTAGCGGGACGACTTTGTTTTCACTACAAAGTATAAAACAATGTCGTCCCGCTGTCTGTCTGTCCCTGTGTGTGCTTAGATCTTTAAAACTACGCAACGGATCTCGATGCGGTTTTTTTTTTACTAGATAGAGTGATTCAAGAGGAAGGTTTATATGTATAATACATCGCGCCCGTGCGAAGCCGGGGTGGGTCGCTAGTATACTATGTAGGGGAGCGTGCGAAATGAGTCGTGATCCGTGCATCAGAAAAGCATTCAGATATAGTTAGGCATTGTTTACGGCTCGAAGGCATGATTTCATTCTAACTACGGGTTATTGTTTCACGAACTTTAGTACAGACTTTGATTACTAGATAATCTCTAAAGCCTTTCAATAGAAACGGTATTAATATATAAAATACATGGATAAATATTAGTTAAAGAGTAAAGGGTATATTCAAAGTTGTACTCTCCACTAGCTGATACGAACTTGACAGACCTTTGAATGTAATCCCATTAAACTACAAATCAAATAATTTTTTTTTAACGTGCGAAATAATTTTTATACGTGATATACTAAGAAACCTTCAAGAACGGGGCGTATTCTTTCCTAAAAGACTGGTAACGCATTTGAAAGCCGAGGTGAGACTATTTCCCGTATGCTCCCTTGTTCCATAAAAAAAATAATGAGACATAAAATTTTACATGAGCCCTGCAGCTACAACTTAACTTTCCAATGATGTCATTAACCGTATGAAGTTTTAGGGTGGTAGGGCCACGCAGCAGCCTCGGCTGTTGCACGAATGGGCAGGCTCATTCGGGTAAGTACCACGACCTCACAGAAGACCGGCGTAAAGTGGAAGTATAATACTTTCGCGTTTCGTCTGGTGAGTGAGGTGGCCGGAGCCCAATTTTCAAAAGGTTGTCAACGCACCTGCAACCCTCGGGTGTAGCAGATGTCCATGGGCGGCAGTATTCACTTACCATCAGGTGAACCGTCTGCTCGTTTGGAACTTTTCACATAAAAAAAAATCTTTTAATGAAGTTCTACTTCACTCCGGTCTTCTGTCAGGTCGTGGTACTTCCCCGGACGGCCCTGCCCATTCGAGCAGCAGAAGACTGTTGAGTGGTCGTATCAGTCTATCCGCACTCGACTGTACTTACCTGACGGGAAGCGGTGTATCCGTACATTGGAGACGTAGGGTGGTAA